TCAGTTAGCAGGAGCTGTTTAATGCTAGAAGCAAGCTCACTGTGCTTTTTAGCCACTCCTGCTCCCGGATGCTCTGTCCACTGGATCCTGCTCACTGTGGGCCTAAGCAGGGCCAGCTGACCATGTGGATAGCTTTCTCTGCAGACAGCTCTCCCATCCAACGCACCTACCAATGGCCCAGGGCTTCCTGGGTGTGAGCATTGCTTTGCCAAAACCCTCCGTCCAGGCTAAGCTCAGGGAGGTGGCTAAGGCCACTCCCAAGCCTGTCTGTTGACTGTTCCCAGTGAGAAGCCCTGGCTGGCTGGCTGGGTGTGGGGAGGGACAATGTGTCAGACCATGTCCTGGGTGCTAAGCCCTTAGGGCCATGAGTGGGGACCTGGGTTAAAAGCCTGGCTTCCTTCTTCCCACACGTGTCTGTGACAAGTTAGACAACTTCTGTGAGCCTCCCTGTATGTGTGAAGTGCTTTGTAAACTGGGGTGCAGTGTGGGTCTGGGTGATCATTTCATGAACATCTTTATCATAAGAGTGCTTTTTTGTTGTTTATTTAATATATTTTTATTGATTTCAGAGAGGAAGGAAGAGGGAAGAGAGAGATGGAAACATCAGTGACGAGAGAGAATCATTGATCAGCTGCCTCCTGCACAACTCCCAACTGGGGATCGAGCCTGCAACCCAGGCATGTGCACTTGACTGGAATGGAACCCAGGACCCTTCAGTCCGCAGGCTGATGCTCTATCCACTGAGCAAAACTGGCTAGGGCAAGGAGTGTTTTTTTATACCAAAGGTTCCACATAAAGTAATAATGTAACTGTCTGCAGAAGTAATAAAGTGATAATATACTGTTTATAATAAGATAAGCTTATTCTGCTGTCATCAACATGGCCAGTGATCCATGGAAAACAGATGTCCCGGCTGTGATTTAGAGAAAATGGTTTTGTGTCAGTTATCTGACTCATGGGGCGCGGGGAGCCGTCAGCGGGAGGACCTCTCAGAGGGTTTGTCTGTAGCTCTAGCGCTTAGCACCAAACCACAGCAGGAGGCGAAGCTAGGGCACCTAGCAACCGACCAGCACCATGGAGACCAGTCAACCCAGCTTGGGTGTGGCCCCAAATTGGTTAACTGTTCTGGCATTTGCTGGTTAGCTAGGAGTCTCATGTTCCCAGAACAAAATTAGACCATTCTATTATTTTGTTCTTTTCTCAGGAAAGAAATAAAGTTTTGCACATCAGAGAACTGCCTTTTATTATTATTATTATTATTTTATTTTATTTTTTTAGATTTGGGACCTTTAATTCTGATTGAGAAGGCACAAGCACGGAGGCCTTTAGGAATGCTTAAGACAGCCAGAGCTTCCCCAAAACCTCAGGGGCCCTCTTAGCACAGAGTCCCTGGGCTGAAATAGCGGCTGTGTGTGAACAGGTCATTAACTGCTCGGCAGCAAGTAAGGGGCCAGAAATTCAGAGTCCACCTGTTAGAAGTGGCATACTGACCAAAAGGAGACAAAACTGAACCCGTGGCATTGACCTTGAAGCTCTTTATGAAGAGACCCCAGGCCCACGCTGGCGCGGTCCCGCTGGGTGGTCACCTACTCACTGAACAACCCCTCCCTGCCAAGCTGTTCACACCACACCAGGTTCTGTTGACCTTCTGAGGATGGAAACCCAGGGCCTCTTGTCTGGTTTCTTCTCACCTGATCCTCTCAGGTGGTTTTAGTTTTGCTTTCTTCGAGGTAAAGTATTTGTGTTATTCTGCCATGCAGCCTCCAGAGCTGTGAGAACTGGGATGAAAATGTCGTGCCCCTCCCTGATTCTCACGCAACACAATGTCCCTTTGCACAGCCACGCCTTTTCCTTCGGCTTTCTAGTGGATTTTCCCAAGAAACTAAATTTGTGGGTTCCACCAGTCACTCATTAATCATCCTCACAAGTGGCCTTGCTATTAGTAAAAATAAAAAGGAGAGAAAGGCATGCCCTAGCAGGGGGCTTCAATGAGGGGCCCCTTTTCATGAGAGAACTGTTTATATAAAAAGTAACAGAAGGCAACTAGGCCCTCTCCACTTTATTCTCGGGGGCTGGAGTCTAAATAATAAATCCAAGAAGCATAAGCTCAGCACTCCACGCATCATATAGACTGGCATGGTCCTATGGTTTGAGGCTCAGCCACGGCACAGGAATGGCTGGGCTAACACACTCAGAATGTAGCAGCTTCCCAACTAGAAGAGCGACTTTCAACCCATGTGCCACAAGAATTTTTAAAACCTATTTAACCAAGGGTTTACCTATTTTCCCTTAGATTGTCAAATAAAAAAATGACAACAGCCAATACAACAATAGCTGTCCAGTGCGAATGAATCAGTATTATACCTATTTTTTTTTTGGTCAGATCAGCAACAACAACAATTTTGTCATTGTTGTGCCGAAGGATTTTAGTAATTAGTTTATGTGTGCCATGAGATGAAAATGGTAGAAAATTGCTGGTCTAGAAGCAAGTTAGAATAGCAGTTTTCCCTAATATCCTACACTCAGTGGAATAAGACATCGCTTGTGCACCATTATTATTGTATTGCTGGTAGTTTGTTCCTGGAACTGAAATTAGTCAGCTAGTTTCCGCAGCTTCTGTGGGGGCTCTGGGTTTGTTCTCCCCCCATGGGCTGCCAGTCTGTCCTGGTCATGCCATTTGAGCCCAGGATTGCCAGCTTCCTTCCTGCTGTGGAGGAAGGCGTGAGCGCCTTGGGTGGGGACTTCTGGGAGCAGAGGGAAGAGAGTGGGCTCAGAGCCAGCAAGGCAGGTGAAGGTGTGTGTGTCTCCCATCCTCCCCCACTGCGGGCTCTTCCATCATGGGCATGTTTCAGATGGGACTGGAGATGCAGGGCAAGGTAACTTGCTCAGCATCCCATAGTAAGGGTCAGAGCCAGGCACTGGGCCAGATGGCGTCATTCCAGAGCTGCCTAGTCCCTTCCCTGCGTGGCCCCCTGGGATTGGCGGGTGCGCAGCAGTTTTCCTCGGGGCCTGCTCCATGATTCCTGCTCGGGGGCGTGTGGTCACAGGGTTTGGGTGGCACATAGCTCGAACGTTTGCCTGTCTTGGTGGGAATATTCACACCAAAGTCTCCAAGAAGGCAGCTTCCTTCATGGCAGGCTACCATTCTCATCTGCAGAGTTGTTCCTCTGCTAAAATTCAAATTGCTTTTTTGCGATCAATTCCCCAAGTCCTATAGTTATTCATGTAGAGCCATTTAGAATTATTTTCTCCAATTCATTTAATTTCGTAGAGCCAAGAATTGTAATCCATGAATATATTTTAAAGTGTCAGAGCAAGAAAATCAGGCAATAAAAGGCATTTCAACCTCTTTAAAATTCATTTTTATGGGCCCCAGGATGCTACCCATCAAAGCTTGGTGCTGTTCACCTCAAGCAAGGTTGAAACCTGCAGAATTTCTCCCACAGCGGCCACTCCGGGCCTTTACCCCGCCTCTTTTCTGTCGCCCCTACCCCTCCTGGGTTAGGCCTTCCAACCTCCTCTGCTGCCCCCCCCACCCCCACCCCATCCTTCCCGAGCTCCGCCCCCAGAAGCCAAGCCACGTGCGCGGGGGCCCCTTGCACACAGTGGGAAGGTGAGTGGGAAAGTCATGCCCTAACGTGTTACCCAGAACTGGGTGGGGCGGGGCGGGGAGTGGGACATTGGGTGGCTGTAGCATTTAAATGTGGATTTTTGGTCTCTCAATGATTCTGGAGCTGCCTTTACAGAGAATGAGGCCAAGCGACTCTGCAGGAAGTTCCCCTTGGGAGGCGGGAAGGTGGCTTTTCCAAGACGGGCTTTCAAACACGTGTCAGAACAGGCAGCCTTTCTGATAAATGTGAGGATGTCCTGTGGCTCCTGCCGAGCCTGGCGAGGACTGGCTGCTTTGTCTGCAGGACTTTTAAAGACGGGGCAGCGCGTGTCCTGCGTCCTGCGTCCTGCGGCGGGAGGGGCGCGCGGAGAGGTTGGGCTCCGGACCCGCACGGGGACTCCTCCTCCCCACGCCCTCCCCGCCGGGCTCCTGCCCGCAGGCCGTCCGGGCCAGACCCTAGGCCTCACGCCCCGGCTCTGAGCCACCGGATCCGCGCAAAACGCTGGCTCTGCGTTCTCCGCCATCCCCGGCAGGAAGGCGGGCGAGGGCAGGCCCGGAGCGCTTGCTCTCACCCCCGCGGGCCGCGCACTTTCGTTGTCCTGCAAGCCGGTCCCTTTCGGGGAGACGCGTTCACGGGGGTCCCCGGCCGGCAGGTGGTGCTGGGCTGGGGCTGAGGCTGCCAGGTCCGTAGCTGCTCCCGTTGGCCTGAGTTTGGGGGACGTCGCGGGGTGTAGCCCGCAGGACTGTAGCCCGCGGGGGCCGGCCGGCGGTGCGGACGGCGGAGACTGGAGTTGGGGGTTCGGAGGCAGCTCGCCCCGCCCCATAGGCCCCGCCCCCCCATGAGCCCCAAGCGGAACTCTGCCTCGCGCGGTCCCCGCCAGCTTTCTTTTCCCACAGCCTCTCCACCGGCCCTCCCCGCGCCTGTGGGCGGGGCCGGCTGTGTCCTTTAGGCCCCCGTCCCCCTCCCCACACACACCCCGCCTTCCGGTGGATTCCCGGGTGATGGATAACCCGCAGCTGGGACGCGGGGAGGGGCGCGCTCGGAGGACGGGCGGGCAGGTCGAGGGTGGAGGTGGGGCTCGGACGGGGGCGGGGCCGTCGGGGCGGGGCGCGCGGGGAAGGCCGCGCCTCTGCCCCGGGGGCCCCCCCACCGGCGGGGCCACCTGCGTCACGCCCATGCGGCCGCGCCCGCCCGAGCCGGGAAGCGGGGAGGGCGCCTCCGCCTGGGGAAGGGCGCGTCCGGGCCGTCGCGGGGCCGTCCGTGGGCTGAGCCGCCGCGCTGGGGATGCAGCTGAGCTGAGAGCCTGCGCCCGCGGACCCGACAGCCCACGATCTCTGAGATCCCGGACCTTCCCCGGCGGTGAGCGGAGTGGGACGTGCGGCCGGCAGGATGACCAACCCGGCGGCCACGCAGAACAAGGAAATAGACTGCCTGAGCCCAGAAGCTCAGAAGCTGGTAAGGGGAAACTTCCGCTTCTGACTGCGGGCGTTGGGTCCTTGTGGACTACGTCTAAGGTCCAGGGCCGTGGGCACCTTTGGCTGCACCGATGTGGGGTGGGCTCCGCCTGGCCGGGGTCCCCTGAAAGGAAGCCCCCCCCCCCCCACGCGAGGATGTGCGGGGGGAGAGGGGGCGGCCCGCTCCGCGTTTGGTGCGTCCCGCTCCTCCTGCGAGGAGAGCAGGTTTCATTGGACGGCGCCCCTCCCCGGGGCGAAGGGACCTGTGACCGGTTCTGCCAGCTGTGTGTCCGGGCGGAGGCCTGAGTCCCGCGCTCTGGCTGGACTCTGGACTCTAGTGTTTAGCTCTAGAGGGTCCCTCCAAGCTGGTAGTTTGGTATTTTACAAAATACAGCGCTAGGAACTGGTGTCCAGAGCCGGGACCTGGGCGGTTCTGAGCACTTATCCTGCTCTGGACCTTCGACCCCAACAGGACTTCTCCCCCTCCCCAAGGACCCCAGTCCCCAAATAAACTCTGGCCCGTTTCCTAGGATCCGAGGGTCCCTCCCCAAAGACTCCAGTCCCCAAATAGACTCTGGCCTGTCTACTGGGATCCGGGGGTCTGGACTGGACCCTGCAGGAATTCACAGTTATCTGGCTTAACACTCGGATGTGAGGTATTTGGGTTAAAATTGGACTGGAGTGGGGTAGGGAAGGTTGGTAATTACCCACTGCTCTGAGGCTTGGGGTTGGACCTGAATATCTAAAGGTGAGAGGATGGATGAACTTTGTAAAGAAACATGTAACAATGTTTGAAGTTTATACTACAGAGAACTTGAGCCCAAAACAATCACTCCTTCACGGGGTAGGAATGAACCACCTGCTGGGTGTTTGTGGGGGGTTCAGAATGAAAAGACTGGCCTTACCTTGAAGGAGTGTCCCAGTAGGTAAGCACCAGAGAAGTGCGCCCTTGGGAGTTAACTTCCTTGCTGAGGATGGTCAGGTGGGTTCTTAGTGTCCATTTTACTGTGCTGCTTCTGTGACCTCATACAAAGCTTCCGCTGTGGGCCAGACCTTTGCCACTGGTTCCTACCCCTTAACCCAGTGGGTTTAGGGACCTGGGAACCTGCAGAGAGACCTGGAATCCCCGTAGGGGAAGGGCCCTTGGAGAAGGAAGGGCAGAATGCGACTAGAGGCCGGCGTTCCCGAGGAGCCATCTAGGCAAGCCTTAGATGGCCAGGACCGATGATGTTAATCCTGGCGAGATTCTGGCTCAGAGGAAGGAACTCTGGGCGGGGACTTTTTGAAGAAGAAAAGAGTAAGCGTGGAGAACGGGGATGTGAGGAAGGGAGGGACCTGTCCCTCAGCGGAAGGAGTAGAAATAGTACCTGGCTCCGGAATCACAGGCTGAAAAGTCTCCTTAACCCTTCACGTACCGTAACCCTTGACTGGGTCTGGGTGAGATGCCTGCTTCATAGAAATAGGGGAGAGGGGAGTCTGGACCGGGCCCTGAGTGAGGAGGTGCCCCATCCTCACTGGCCCACCATCCCCCCGTCCAGCAATGTTCAGTCCGTGTGCCGCAAGATGTTTTGAAACATGCAATACCTGTTTGATCAGGGGCACTGACCTGCTCTCCCTTAGATTATAAATTTAAACACGACAGCAGTCCATACAACGATAGCCCTCCGGTGTGCATGAATCAAAAGCACACTTACTTTTTTTCGTCAGATTGGCAGAAAATACGTATTTTGGTGAGCCGCAGAATTTTAGTAATTAATATATGCTGTGCCATGGGATGGAAAAGGTTGAAAATCGCTGCCCTACCAATTCCAGGATCCAGTAAGTTCTGAAAACCAACAGTTGTTGCTTTTTTGGGTACGTTTGTGGCAGAATTTATTTGGCAATGAGACCCGTCCTGGCTGGAGGGCGACTTTTCAGTCTTGACCTCTGCGTGTGAAAATATCCATACATTTTTCTGCAGCCCCCGTTAACGGTCTTGGTTAAAGGGTGTAACTCAGGATTGTGGCAGAACGTATGGTGGCCTTTCTAGTTGAAGCCTGACACATACCTGGTTCCGGGATTTCCAGTAAGCAATTGTGAACCTGTGTGAGGGTTGTTTTTAGTAAATGATAGCAAACACTCTTGGAGAGTGAGGCGGGGAGCAGCCTTAGAGGAGAGTCACCCTGCAGCCGCCCTGGGCGCCGCAGTGTTCCAGCTGGAGGCCTCTGGGTTTTTCCTACTGTTCGTTTGGTTCCTGTTGTGTCCTCCACTAAGTGAGCCTGTTGTCCTGGGAACTGGGGTCTGCAGTGGGGAAAGAGGGCTGGGGGCCACCCCAGTGCCAGAGGAGAGCCAGGGTTGGCAGGAGGAAGCAGGATTGCCATGCTTCACCTCACTTGGCAAAGCAAACAGCAGGACGAGGGCGGGAGCCCAGCTCCTTCATGACAGTCGGTGCCAGCCGTGGGAGGGGCAGTGTGGAAACCACGCACTTCTCTCACTTTTGTAACTTCCCATGTTTGAGAGGGGTTGTGTCACCTCTGGTGGCTTTCCACATCCTGACTAGCATGAGCTGACAAACATCAGTCCTGTCCGGAGAGAGGCTGTCTGGGTAGAGCGGGGGGCACCGTCTCCCAAGCCCCATCTCACTAGGTACCGGTGCCAGGGAGCCTACCTGAGTGGGAGTGGGGACGAATGCGGGGACGAGGCGGTGCCCTGGGCCGGTCCTGCGGGGCTCAGCACGGAGACGGTCGAGTCCTGAGAGCCCGTGGCTTGTTTTAGATGGGCCACTTCCTCAAGCAGGCACATAATAGAAACACTAAGTTAGGTCTTTTCTCACATATTAAGAGTCTCCCACGAGGGCAAAGATGGGGACTTAAATTTCCCTTTTTCTTTAAGAATTAGTTTCTGTGCAGCCAGAAATAATGTCACAGAGCGGAAGCCTCCTCAGTAAAAAAAAAAAAACAACAAAAAACTTTCAAACCCTGCAGTCTAAACTGCCTCTCTTCTGCTGAGCACAGGAAGTCCAGTTATTTATAGTTGCAACACTGTTTTCTCTCAAAGCTGATTGGACTGTTACCTGTTGGCGTGAGGGCCTTATCTCGTTTGTACAGGTCTGTGAGGTTGCCGTTGGTATGATGTGTTTGCTCCTCAAAAGGCAATGTTCGAGAGGAATGCCTTATCCCTGACAATCGGGCTGTGTGACTCAGAGAGGAAGCGTGTATGACTGGTTACTCACATGCCAGTTTCCAAAATCTCAGTTCGTGTTTGCGAATGTTGATCCCAGAGGCCCGGGGCCCGTAGGTGTGAATTACTAACCTGTGAGGGAATACGCCTGGTATATCACTCCTGGTGTATCCTGCTGTGCCTCGGTTGTGGGGTAGGCAGGAGAGAGCTTTTATTGCCTCGCTGTTTTAACTTGATAGGGTTCTCTTTTTTGAATAAAGACACTTATTTTTATGAAATGGATTTACTAGGACTTTCATTATTCAAACTATCTAGGTAAACTTAAGTAAATTAACTTGTTTCTCCTGAGTTAAACAAAGGATTACTTTGACTACATCCAAAATTTAATCATTCACAATTGCCGGGCATATGGCCGCAGACCAACACTGAAGTCGTCCCCCTCCTCCCCCGCCCAGCTCCAAAACAAACAAAAACCCAGGACACAGGTGTGTGTTCCGAGAACCCACTCATTCGTGGGGGCCAGGAGGGAGGGCAGTGTTGCAATGGTTTCCTCCTTAAGGCTGTAACTTCACTTTAAAGCAGTTTTGCCTTGAATCTGAAGAACAGCTACATTGTAATAGAGACCTAATGAATCGTAAATGATGGTAGTGAGGATTTGTTTTAAATTTTAACCCCAATCTTTCATGTCTGTGTTAGTGTGGTAGAGCTTATGAAAGAAAGCAGCATCCTTTCTGATCCTCGCATCTTTTTCCTCATCTGCGGTGCCTGGTGTGTAGCCTTCTTGTCTCTGCTGCCCTTAGCCCTGAGCTGAGCTGAGCTCAGCTCACACTGCTGGGCCTGCAGCTGTGGTGCTAGTCACAGTCACTGTAGGTAGCATTTCCCAATCCCCTCCCCCTCCCCCCGTGTCTGCCTTGCCAACCGTTTCCTGTGGCGCCTTCCCCAGTCCTGGCCACCACCTCATGAGGCTTGGTGATCTCCACTTGCAGATAAAGAGGAAACGGAAAGGTCAGGGGAATTTCCCAAGTCCACACAGCCAGCGGGAAGGGGGCCCTCTGACGGAGCTGGTGCTCATAGCTGTCACCGCTGTGCACAGCGCCAGGCAGGGTCTCAGGCTGGAGGCTGCCATTGGCTTCTCGCAGCTCCCCGGCCCCACACACAGGATCGGGGCCGAGGGGCTTCTTTTTCCTGACAGGGCCCTTCAGATCCCAACCCTTGCTTCTGGGTGCCTGTCGAGACCTCTTCATTGTATCAAATGCCTCGTTTCTATTTCTGGGAGTTTTCAAAACTTTTCAAAACAAAAGAACACTCGATGGACTGAAGTTTTCTAAATATGGAAGAGAATACCAGAAACGGAAGGGTGGCAGACGTGTCTCCTTTTTCCAGTTTGTGTGCTGGACTCACTTTGTCACTATCAGTCACTGTGTCAGCCCTCACGGGAACCCCGAGTGGCTCCTCCTTAACCCCATGCCACCCAGACAGGCCCCTGGAGAGTGGAAATGATGGCTTCTCCTTCTTCCCTGGCTAGTTCCGGGACTGGCATTGGACACAGGGAAGGCTGTCAGTAGATGTGTCCGGCCTTATAGAGGAGAGCGTGGTGCTGTGAGAGTCCCCCTTATTCTGAGAGGGAATATGCTTTGTGACACCTTGAAAGGGCGGGGTCTGCAGGGAAGACCCTGCGTGGAGCAGGGAACAGGGAACAGGGAATGAGAAGGGGGAGGAGCCCAGATGCCAGGGCTGCAGGGAACCTGTCACCTGGAGAGCCGCACAGGTGCGCGAGCTGCTCTCACCTGTCAGCCGCGTGCATGGTGATGCGTGGCCATCATGCTCTTGTCGGTAGTTCCA